TTTCAACCAAACCTAAACCCTTTCTATTCAAGTCTTTTAAAAAATTAGCCAATAATACTTCTACAAATTCCAAACGTTTATTTTTTATCCATGATAATTAGTGCACAAATACAAAATAAGATATCGATATTCAAATTTATGAACCTAAACCACTTGCTATGTATCACTACAATATATTTTTACTTTTAAGCACGGACATATGGACATGTCTGTCTACTAGTGCAATTTGGAATACCTGGGGTACAGACTCTTATCCTGTTTCTCAATTTATTTTAGTTTAATATGTGATAACTATAGCTATATATCAGTGAGCTTGATTATCTATCTTAAACAAATCATCTTAACAAATTTTATAATAACAAATCAAACTTCTTCCGTCAATATATTGAACTTTGTATTTATATTAAACTTTTGAACATCTAAACAAATAATTTTATAAACACATGCAAATAAGGTTTTTGCTGTAACTTTTTATAGAATTAACGTATTTTGTACTAACATATTATAGTAACAACATTGCAGTTAACCAATATATTTAGAGTTAGGGTTTGGTTTATACGAATTTTTTTTGGCTGTGCGAAATAAATTGTTACAAATAAGTGTTATCATGTTACAATTAGATACGCTTTTTTTATATTTATGAATCTTTTGAAAATTCAATAGAATAAAAAAGTTCTATAAAAACAATACTCAAACACTGATTTCGCTTTTATTTAGAATCGAAATGATAAAATTAATATAGTGTAATTTACAATCAGAAAAAAGAACATTGTAATTATTCGACTATCCACCTTCATCTATTCGCTTTAGAAGGATAATCTCTTATTTATTTTCTAAATTCTACTTTTTTAATAAGTTTTCTTGTCATTTTTTTATCCCCGTTTTAGTTGAATAATCTGGCTTACAGGCAATTAATAAGCAGTGAACTTTAAGAATATGAACAATAAATATATATTAGTATTTGACGAATTAATTTTAAAAGAATGGGTCAGAGTAGAAAATGTGTAAACTGCACAAGAATGGAAAAGTAACAATAAGGAGATCAATATTGCATCAAGCTTAAAGCTATATCCCATAAAATGTAATCTTTTTAATTGATTAGACAATGTTTAAAAGGTCGGTAAAGAGAATTTTGCTTACTATTTTTTAACAACGTGGCTAAATAACAATAGTTTTAAATGATGGATGATTATACACTGCACATTATCAATGTAGTTACATTTAAAACTTTACAAGTTTACCAGGCCCACAGAAGAAGTTTTTTAAGAGAAGTTAAAAATATTTATTCTGATTTAAATAAATAATTAATACTATCCTAGTTATAACTTAATATTGCAATATATTGTTTTAATTTGTTATATTAATATATATAGATATGTGTTATATAAAAAGGTAATAAAACTATCTATGCATATAAAAGAGACTTGACAAAAACTTATAACACATGATTATGTGAACTCATATCCTAATTTTATTCTACGAATTTGTTTTTTCATTCAAGTAATGTTTCATCATGTGTAATAAGAGCCCAATCAAACTTAAATTCATGTAATTTTTATTTCAAAAATCTTAAAAATTCAAAATTATTCCACGTTACACACTAATGGAATTATTCACTGTCCTCGATCAACTAGTTATTGGTCATGTTTTTGGTTAAATGATAAAGTTGGCAGTTTTTCTTTCAGCCACTAAGTTTCAACTTATTCTACAACTTGATTGATGAGAAGAGCAGTGTTCTTTTGAAATATGGATATATTCATTACATCCTTCTTCTTTACAACAATGCTTCTGTTTATGGTAATCACATTCACTGTCTGGAGAAGAAGTTCGAAAGGAACAATAAAGTATGCTACAATTTGATTGATGAGAAGAACAGAATTCTTTCGACATATGAATCAATGATCTACATCCTCTTTCTAAACAACGGTGCTTATTTTGATGGTAAGCACACTCACCGTATAAAGGAGCTCGAGAGGAACAATCAAGTATGATACAAATTGATTGATGAGAAGAGCAGTATTCTTTCGAAATATGGATATATGAATTACATCCTTCTTCTTTACAACTCTGATGCATATCACAATGCCCGTTATAAGATGCCGCGTTTTTACATCCGCCATTAAAACAAGGAAACAATTTGCTTTTTTCAATTATTTTCGTGGGAGAATAAGGAGTATTGTCACAGATTACTTTGCTTAGTTTTGGACAACCGAGAATATTAATTTTTTGTAAATTAGAACAATTCCTGATATTTAGCTCAGTCAATTCTGCATTTTCCGAACAGTTAAGCTCTATTAACCCAAAACATCCGCTTAAATCGAGACCAATAATATGGTTGCGACAATGATCATTTGTTCGTGGATGATATTTCCGCTTACTGGAACAATCCAACTCTTCTAAATTTGCAAAATTTGTTAATTTCAAATAACCGTCAATATTATAATCTGTAAGGTCTAAACATTCCCGACCATTCCTTATATTATATCTTAATGAATTCTCGCTCGCGACTGAACCATTTAATGCTGATTTCCATTCATAACCGTTAATTACTAACATATTATTCCTAACTAGAAATATTAATAGACTAGTTAAAAGAGAAAAAAAATTAAGCTATTCAGTGATAACAAGAAAATCCTTAGAACTTGATTAATGATTTAAAATCATATAAATATTTTGGCGGAATGTAGTGAAGCAAATTTAATTGTCAAACAAAGTGATACAAAAGGTATAATTTGATGTATCGAAGGTCACGTATTGATATAAAAAGTTATACATTAGAAGCGTAGTTTTGAAGCGTAGTTTTAAAGGATAATGTCAACGCGCGTGATGCATAAACAATTGCTATGTTTAAACTTATAATGTATTACACGTTGTTGTATTCGTCATTAGAGATGTTAAATGATCTATCTAATTTGGTCTATCAATGGAAGTCTTAATTTGCATTGTCATTCAGTTGTCCTGTTTTTTCTGTTGATGATTTTCGTCTTGTATTACGTCATGAGGTAATACACTACCGAGATCCAAAAATTATTGTACAGTACATCGGTTATCTTGGTTCTACCACAAAATCCAAACATCTAAAATCTCGAAACCATAATCCCGACGTTGCAATTAATATTTAAAGATTAGTAATCACATTAACAATCATTATCAGACTTTAAATTTCTCATTGTCAAATCGCGTGATGTCAGTATTATGGCCTGTCGAGATTTTGGATGTCGGTAGAACCGGTTACCTTTTACAACTTGAGAACAGCTTCAGGACGTTCTCGAGCATCAACTTAAATGCGATTTTATAGTGATCAAAATAGTGCCGTACGCACCCAGAAAATGTGTATCGGATGATCGTCCGGAAAGATAGGTTGGAATGTTAAGAACATTCAGAACTAGAAACCAAAAGTATTTGCGTTACATACTTACATAAAGAGTTAATGATCGATATTGTCATTAGCGTTAGCTTAGTATGATACGTTTCGTTTGTCTTTTCTTTCTGAAGAAAGAGAAATGCAAAACATGTTACAGACACATTTTTAAAGTTATGAACAAGCCATTATTTAATTACAAGAAACCATCAAATTGAAATCTAAATAAACTTTGAATATATCGAACCTATTTATGCCACTTCAGCAAATATTGTGGAAATAAGCCGTTTAAAAAAGATATTGAAATTGGTTTGTATTTTATTCATAATAATTCAAAATCTGGTTAATAATTACATAGCGATAAAGATCTA